GGGAACAGCACGTGGTTTGCAAAATATTGGACTTGCTCCCTTATCTAATTTTAGACTTACGGTTCCTAACTTGTATCGGCCCAAACCAGTCTTGAAAACTTCAGAAAATTCGTTTTTAACTTGTGTTATAATTTCATCATATGAATTCACAAAATTAACGCCTCTCATTGAAAAAGATTTATTTTGAACTAACTCGAATCCAAATGCACGCAAGAAATCTCTTCCTAGCAAAGTCGGTCTGTCTGCATTTGTTACAATTATTTTTCCAAGAACTCTTTGGCCATCAAAATTACAAGTTGCTTTAAACTCACCCAGCGTCTTCAATAGTTCGCCACCATAGCCTGACAATGGAAGTTTGCATGGTTCCAGTTTTTCATTCGAAAAATCTTTGCGAAATGTACGTACTGACATCAGTGAACATGGAGCACCGGTATCGCAGAGCACAAAACAGCATCTTCCATTTATTTCCACGTGAAGCTCATAAACTTTAGGTCGCTCAGTGCTACTATTAATTGAAAAAATGGAGAAGTCCCAACCGGCCATACTATCGACACTGAATACTGAAGGAGAAATATCATTAGAAGAGCTACTAGAATTTTGAGATTTATCTAAATTAATAAAATTCGTGTCTTCCCTTTTGTTTTTACAGATGTTTTTCAGATGACCTTGTAGTCCACATGAATGACAGCGACTGTTCTTGAATTTACAGTTCCTAGATTCGTGATTTTTCCACCCGCAATGACTGCATGCTTTCTTCTTCTGATTGCTTTTGTGCCTCTTTGATTTGCCGATATCGCACTTGTTTTGCCTACCACGTGGACGGACGTACATAACCCCAGCATCATTCTTAGCCGACATTTTAGATTCTCTGATTAACGCTTTATTTAAGGCCGCTTTCAATGTAATTGTTTCATCCTCTTCGCATAGTTTTTCGAAGAGGGGAGCTGGCAATTCAACTATGAACTTATCCAAAACAATTTGTTCCAATGCAGTGCCAAACTTACACTTAAACGCAAACTTCCTAACTTTAGAAAACCATGTGGATACACTATCTTCTTCTGATTTCTTTAAATCATAAAAATTTTTACGCTCTTGAAATAAAATAACTGGTGGCATAAAATGCTGTGATAAAATATCACATAATTCTGCGTAAGTCTTTTTATATGGCAATATTGGACTGCATATATTGTGCAAAGTGCTATATGCTTCGGCACCAATCAATTTCAATAAGATCGATATTTTCACCTTTTCATCAGTGCATTTAATCTCCGAAAAATGCAATTCCAGCCGCTCGTTCCAAAGTTCCCAATTTTCGTTTGGTGAAAATTCTGACATTTGTGAAGAGTTTTACCAATGCGACATCCTCGTCGCCAATGAGATGTTTTAAGCTCGGTTGTTTGGTAGCAAAAAGGAAGGAAACTTTATTGTACAAATCTTATATACTAATTTACAGTCGTATGATGATAAACGCCAGTGCAATGTTAAACGTCAAAGTAAAGGAATGCTATAATGACATTCAATCATTCTAAGTAATCTATTACGCTATAGGGATGATACTTAATTTACTAATCTAGTACATTACAATATGATTTTGTTTTAAGCGTGATTATTTATTTGCTTTCAAGTTCACGGAATTCGGGTTTTTATTTAACAGCTCGATGGGTAAGACCCCTTTTTGAATACGCCGTGTTTTGGACACTGATTTTGCAAAACCCTTGAAGTGTTCGTCACGTGTCACCTTCTTTTAATATGTAGGCATAAGAGCTGTTGCCCTTCTTTTCAGTGACAAAGGCGTCTGAATTCGTTTTCCCAATAGTTATCTTTATGCCTGGTTTTCCTTTTTCTTATCTTCTACCTATTCGCTATCTTTCTATAAGCTTTTATTTAACTCTCTCTGTATGTATGTTCAGGCTGGCGAAAAAAATTGTTCCTCCACTGAACCCTCCCCGAGGGTGCCGGCTGGAAATGGATACTCCAGTATGTTCTGTGCGTTGTCAGAACGGTATCTAGCTAAGGTCAGGGGGAATCGCGGGAAGGTTCGCTGCTCTTCAATAGCACAGCCCATCGCAATGCCCTTTGATCATGGTACGGAGGTTTCCCTCAATCCAAGGTGTTAAGCGGACCGTGCCTATTGGACGACGTTTGCAGTCGGGGGTAACGGACTGTATTTCTACGGTGCCTCACTGACACTGGGTCGCCTCAGTGAGTAACGGTGACCTTACCATGGCATGGGGCGCTACCATGGCGGACGGACTTTTTCCCCTCTTCACTCGCTAGGTCGCTGTGCCAGGCCACCTCGGCTTCGGTACAGGCCGGCGCTGTTTCTCTTGGGTTCCTCTTGAGTTTCCTTTTTTGGACAGTGACTGGGCGGGCGACCGTAAGAACCAGAATATATGCAAAACCAAAAAACAGCCTCGCACAATAAAAAATCTGACAAACACCCACAACTAAGGGACACGACTAACAAGAACTCCACGGACAGTACCTCGGACAACAAAATGCAGGACTCACTTACCCTAGACACGACCAACAAGGACTGTACGGACAGACCTCGACTGGGTAGTCCGAGCCTCTCCACGGAGGAGGAGCTCCTCCTATCCAGTCAGGAGACTTTGACGCCCGGNACAAAGGGATCGTGCACCCGAGGACGCCGTAGACAAAATCCGTTTTCAGGCGGTGGTGGATGAGTACCGGCTTTACCAGGCCACCGAACACAAGGATGCGGGAAAGCGGAATAGGTCCCAAGATGAGGTCGAAATAGCCTCAAAAAAGGGTAGGTTTTCTGCTGACCAGGCAAGTGCGGCTGCTGCAGCAGGGCCACGGCGTGGCTTCAGCGAGGTGGTAAGAGATAGCCTGCAGGTGGCACTTGTAGATGCGATTTCCAACAAGGCGAAGCCGGTGCTTGACAAGTGGGGGGAGATTGAGGCGCGGCTGTCTCAAATGGTCATTGACCAGGTCATGGCACAGCCGGATGGCCATCTCCCCAGTTTCGACTCTGCGGAGGTAGTGCGCGGTTACAGGGTGGTTAAATGTGAGGACCAACTCTCAAAGGTTTTCCTGGAGAAGAGATTGGCGAGCATCAGTGATGCTTGGGAAGGTTTGAGGCTCAAGCTCATCCCTGCCGGTGACATCCCCAGGAGGCCGAGAGCTCGCATTTGGCTCCCACGTGTAGAGATGGATAGCGCGGCGCTGCTAAAATATCTGCGTACACACAACCGTGAAATCCCGATGGACGACTGGGTGATCCTCAAGGCTGAGGAGTCACAAACAACCAGCATGTCCTTCTTACTCCTCATTGGTGAGGAAAGTATCGAGCCTTTGGAAAAGGCCGACTGTCTCCTTCGCTTTGGTATCCGGCGAGCCAAAGTAAAAATTTTCCGGGCGAACGATGCTGAAGAAGAAGAGCCGGACGTGGTCGACGACGCAAATAAGCTGCTGGAAGGCATGCTGCTCGCTGACCCAACTGCTGACCCAAATTGATAATGGGTCTAAAGGTTGTCCAGATTAACCTCCAGCACTCGAGGCTGGCCACGGACAACCTTTCCGTCTTCCTGGTGGAGGAAGATGTCGACATCGCGCTCATTCAGGAGCCCTGGGTATGGAACACCGAGGTGAAGGGGCTGCACCTAAATGGATACGAGGTGTTCTACAAGAAATCGGACGGTAAGCCTAGATCTTGTGTTGTGGTTAAATCTCAATACCATACTTTTCTCATCCCTTCCCACAGCTCATCGGATCTAACAGCCACGAAGTTCGAAGCGGCTGGTGGTACCAACATGGTCATCGCCTCGTGCTACATACCACACAACGAGGACGCACCACCGGGTGTGGTTCGTAGATTAGTGGAGAACTTTCAGTTGGAAAATCTACTTATCGGATGCGATTGCAACTCCAGGCATTCGATCTGGGGCAGCTCGGAAATAAATACTCGCGGTGAGTTTCTTTTCGATTACATTCTTAGCACTAACCTAATAATTTGTAATCGAGGTAGCACTCCGACGTTCACGTTTCCTAGCACTGATACTTTTAGGGGATGGGAAGAAGTGCTCGATATAACACTAACTAACGATTGTAGTAGTAGAGGTAGCATTAAAGTAGACAACTGGAGGGTATCTGATCGGAAATCTTTTTCTGATCATAGGTACATACTGTTCAACTTATCGGTTAGCCAGAATGTTTCCCTTCCTTTTCGTAACCCAAAGAGAACAAACTAGCGGCGGTTCGCCAGTGTGGTCAGTAACAAACTTGGGAAACATTACAATAATAATTTAACGACCTTGGAAGATATAGAAACCAAGTGCAACAAATTCGTAAAGGCTATGGGATCGGCCTTTAAAGTCTCCTGTCCCGTAAGCTTCGGGCGGAACAAATATCCTCCATGGTGGGGAGAGGAGATCTCGGAACTTAGGAAAGAGTCTCGCAAAGCCTTCAACTTAAGCTATTCCACGGGCAACTGGCAGACCTATAGAGATAGCTTGAGAATTTACAAAAAGGCAATTCGCAAAGCAAAACAGGAATCGTGGAGGGATTTCTGCTCTTCTATAGAATCAACGAAAGAATCCGCCAGAATGGGGAGGATCCTATCCAAGGAACACAGCAATCCTTCCTTCCTAAAAAAGGAAGATGGAGGATGGACCAATAGCTCTAAGGAGACATTAGAACTCCTTCTTCGTACCCATTTTCAAGGCTGTGACCTAAATCAGGTCTCAGGTGTAGATAGCAACGTACCGGCACCATCCATTAATGTCGTTAACGAAATTATCACGCGGGAGAAGATTGCGTGGGCAATTAACAGCTTCTCTCCGTACAAATCTCCGGGTCCGGACGGGATCTTTCCAGCAATGCTACAGGAAGCCCAGCCGTGGGCTATTTCATGGCTGGAGAGCATTTTCAAAGCATGCATAATGCTCAACCATGTTCCGTCTACTTGGCAAAGTGTTAAAGTAGTTTTCATTCCCAAGGCAGGCAAGAGAGGACACACGGTGCCTAAGGACTTCAGACCCATCAGTCTCTCGTCTTTTGTACTGAAAACTTTCGAGCGGCTACTGGACATGCACATTCGTTCGAAACTAGGCAATGGAGAATTGTCTACTGCACAGCATGCTTACCTAAAAGGGCGCTCCACAGAATCTGCGCTCCATGAGGTCATACACAAGGTAGAATCATCGCTGGAAAATAAATAATATACGTTGGGGGCCTTCCTGGACATAGAAGGGGCGTTCAACAACGTTAGTCTGGAGGCGATAGAGCAATCACTCAGAAACCTGGGGATTGAGAACTTCCTGGTAAACTGGATGTCTACCATGCTTCGTACAAGGATTGCAAACGCTAAGCTAGGCACCAGCGTAGTCATCAGTCATCCAAAGCGGGGGACTCCGCAAGGCGGGGTACTGTCGCCGCTGCTGTGGCTTTGCGTACTAAACAACATTCTTCTAAGACTCAACAGGGAAGGGGTCAAAGTTGTTGCGTATGCGGACGATGTAGTGATTATGGTATCCGGATTGTGCATAAATGTGATAAGCGAAATGCTTCAAAGAGCACTGGGGGAATTGGGTTCTTGGGTAAATGGCTGCGGGCTCAACGTTAATCCCTCGAAGACCGAATTACTATTATTCACTACAAGAAAAAATATTCCTAATTGTAACCTACCTTCCTTGAACGGGCTTACTCTCTCTCTTTCCCCTTACGCTAAGTATTTGGGAGTCATTCTCACACCGAAATTAAACTGGAAAATGAATACAGAGCACCGAGTAAAAAAGGCCGATGGTGCTCTGTATTCCTGCAAAAAAATGCTGGGTAAGAGGTGGGGCCAACGACCTGATCTTATGCTATGGATGTACAAGGCGGTGATTCGCCCAATTATTGCATACGGTTCGCTGGTTTGGTGGAAAGCCGTAGAGATGAACTACATACGCACAATGTTAGGCAGGGTACAAAGGTCAGCCTGCATTGCGACTACTGGGGCGATCAGATCATGTCCAACGGAAGCATTGAATGTCATCTGTCATCTGCCACCGATTGATCTTTTTATCAAGGAAAGTGCTTCACAGAGTGCGCTCAGGGTGAGGGAACTTGGATTGTGGAAAGAACGTACGTACGGGCATGGACGTATCCTGTATTCTTTCAACGACCCAAGCATTCGCGAAAAAATTGACTACATTTGTCCTTCGCTTCTCTTCAAGAAAAACTTCGGCACGATTTTTCCATCAAGAAAGGAGTAGAAGGACCCTATTTTTACTGAACGCTTCGAAGGATCCATTTTTACGGACGGTTCAAAAATGGATTGTGGGGCAGGGGCGAGAATTTTTTCAACCGACCTCCAAATTGAAGAGTCTATTCGATTACCTAATTCGGCCAGTGTTTTTCAGGCAGAGGTCTTTGCCATAAATGAGGCGTGCAAAATAATTTTAGCCTCGAAGCTAGCGAGAACCAGCATTGCTATTTTCTCAGATAGTCAGGCAGCGATCAAGGCACTTGGCTCTGTAAGCATCACCTCCAGCATAATAAAACAGTGCAGGGAGAACGTTATGGTTTTAGCCGACAGGCACGTCGTTGCACTGATCTGGGTGCCGGGGCACAGCAGAATTCATGGCAGCGAGATGGCTGACGAGCTGGCCAGGAATGGGTCGGCTCTGGATATCTCAGAAGCAAAGGAGGTTCTTGTGCCTCTGAGCTATATCAAGAGCCGCATCTCTCAGCACTGGAAAAATGTGGCTAGCAGTGGGTCTGCAGGAGTCTGTGGCCCACCTACTGCGCAAAACGCACTGCTTTTCTTATCAAACTAAACAGGAAGGATCTATCTCGACTAACTGCCGTTTACACAGGCCACTGGGCCGTGGGAATCCATGCTGCAAGACTAGGACTGGAACACAACATATCTTGTCGTAGTTGCAATTCACCAGATGCAGAAGAANGAAGAAACGGTGGAGCATCTGCTCTGCGATTGCCCAGCACTATGTAGGACTAGAATCAGGCTTCTAGGCAAACCCTGCTTCTGCGGTTTAACGGACATAAGTGATATTAACCCACTGCAACTTCTTAAGTTCTTGAACTCCACAGGCTGGGTTTGAGATATATAACCGACTTCTGCTGCTTTCTTTTCGGGCTTTCTTTTCAGGTTTAAATTGCGAGTAGTGGTTTTAAAACAGCACGCATAAGTGCTAATTGGAGTTATTAAACTCGCCACTTCAACCAACCAACCAACCATGTATGTTCAATTTGTTTGGGGCAAATCTTGAAATGAATTTTTGACTAGCTTCCCGATGACCTAGACCAGTGTTAGCCAAAAAGAGAAAGTTCTCAAATGAGAATGTATTAGTTATGTTACCTAAAAATTAGAATGTCTTGGTGGTAATGCACGGAGAAAAATTTCTGTGTTGTATTACTTATAAAAATGTCTGTATGTGTTTTAGCATTTTTTTCATTGGGCGATATTTTTCATTGAAACATAAAACAAAGAAAGAATGTTAACGGCCCTAAGTAAGAAAAAAGTTGGTAAAATTTGTTATTTATTTAAATTTATTTTCGGGATAATTTAAATGAATATTAAAAGAAAATTTCGTTAATTTCAAGTAAACATTAAATAAAAATATATTATTTGTTTTTTTTAATTAGGTAAAACTTGACATTTAAGATCAATTTAAAATTACGATGAAAAGATAAATAACAAAACATATTGTGTGTTTTGATTGAGGACTAGTCTGGTATTTAAAAAAAACTTACATAATTCACATAATTACATTATTTATTTATTTTCTTCAAATCCTGAATTATAAAAGCTTTGAGAAATTCAAACTAACTTTAAAATTACAATTAAAATAAATAAAAGATTACACAGGCCTACAAAATTAAAAAAAAAAGTTCAGACCCTGGGACCAGCTTACTTTTTTCTAAAGGTTTTCGTTGCTCTGAATCTGAATCCAAAATCAGTTTTGGTCGATTGGCTCAGGTTTTCGAGATATTTGAGCCTAAACATACGAAAAGCCCTATTTTTTGCTATATTCTTCATGTATTTTCATCAAGAATAGTTTGTTTTTCTACAAAATTGAATAAATCATTTGAAAGCAAAATACTTCCCCTTGATAATGCTGTTTAACTCAACGAGATATCTTGTTTTAAACCTGAGATATTGTCCATTGAAGCTTAAGAGTTTTGCGACATTACTTCTTTGCACAAATGGTTGAAAGATACAACACGAAAAGAAACAGATTTGTGGTATACGTTTAGGCATCTTTATTTATATAATGAGTGTATGTGTATATGTGCGCGTGCATAGAGAAAACTTATTTCGTTTAATACTAGGTTCACATATAAGTAGATTATCCTCATTTCTGAGCTTAACTCCCTTATCTGTAATTAGAAAAAGAGATAAGCCATATAAAATTCGTCTCTTATTAATCTTTAATTATAAAATAATCTCAGATTTAACCTATAACTTTTCGGTGTCCATCCTAGTTTTATCGATTGTTTTTGCGAAGAAG